CCAGGCAGTGGGGACAGGAAGGGGAGGCTTTGGCACTATCCCAACCCCTAGAAAAATCTCTCCGCTCCCATTGGCCATAAACCAATTTTGCTAGGGGGAGGGGGATTGCACAAAGTCTCTTCCTGCCCCAGCACGCTGAGCAGAGAGCCACAGGGAGCAGTCAGCTGCTTAAAGTGGTGCGGAGGGCTCTGAAGCAGCGGGCTGCTTGAGGGTCCTAGCAGGGCAGCCCATGGGCTGGATCCAGCAGCTTGGCGGGCTGAATTCTACCCGTGGGCTGTTTCTTGCCCACCCCTAACCTACATTGACTGCATGCCACCAGCTGCAGAGCCTTGACTTCACAGAGTTTCCTGCCTTGTGCAACTGCTGGGATAGCTGCAGCTCCCTGACTTGGGTTGTGTTGAGAAATTGCATCCCCTTCAGCAGCACTCCCTCCCTTCAGCAGCACTCCCTCCCTTGCCCTGTACTCCCAGCTCACCTCGCACTCTGTGCACCAGGGGAGTCTGTTATGAACACCCCCAGGGTCAAATGTCCTGGATCCATGCATCTCAGGAGATGCCGTAAGCAAGCCAAGGGTACCCTGCCCTCAGTCAGTGTTCCTATTTTGATGCATGCATCTCTCTGCAGTCCCAGTTCTCCAGAAGGCCCTCACAGATGTGAAAAGGGCGGGAACTTGGGTGACAAATGCACTTTCTCAATGGTATTACCACAGTGTGTTGCTGTGTTTACTCCCAGGAGGAAAAGGGATGGAGTGAGAGATGGGATTTGGCCAGTGGGCACATTTCCCTGCCCTACCCTCCAGGGCTCACCTGTGTGACAGGTGAGTAAGATGCAAACCCTGGAAGCTGTGTGCCCAGAATAGACTCTGGGGCACTTTGAGGAGTTGATGCAACCTGCTTTGCTTTATGCTGAGTAAATATTTTCCTGGGGAACGTGTCCGTCTTTTACAATGAAACCCCATTAGTAGCCTGTTGTCTACACAAATAACCACAGGGAAGGAACGTGTCCACTTCTCAGCCTGCTCCATGTCTCCCTCGCTCAGCTCTCTTTCTGAACAAACATAACCTTTTGCAAAAATGTCTGTCAAAATTATTCTGAAATATTGAACTAAAATGATAGGACGCAGCCTGTTCCTGGGCCTTAGTGCCTGCCATGTTGGGCTGCATATTCCCCTCAAAGGCAACTTGGAAGGGCAGCCAAACACACTTTGTGAAGAGACCGCAGTGGGCTTGCTTTGAGTACAATATTCAGGCCTTCTCAAATCACTAAGGCCAGGTCTACATTAAAGGGAAAAGTCGAATTAAAATACACAACTCCGGCTACGTTGATTACGTAGGTGGAGTCTACGTACCTTAATTTGAGTTTCCATGCGGTCTTCACAGCAGCAGGTTGATGGGAGCAAAGGCTCCTGTCGGGTTCCCTTATTCCTTGTGAGGAGCAGGCATACTGGCATCTATGCGGGTGCCCTCTAAGTTTGATTTACTGGGTCTTTATGAGACTCGCTAAATCAAACTCCGGAAGATTGATCGAGGCTGCATCATTCTTCCCCATAGTGAAAACATGGCCTAAATTAAATGGCCACTGGGCAGTGACTGTGTCAGAAAATGCAGTGTAGGCTTAGGCCTGGCCTACACTTAAAATGTAGGTTGACTTAGCTATTTCGGTCAAGGGTGTGAAATAGCCACGCACCGTGGTAGCTATGCCAACCTGACTCCAGGTGTCGGCACAGCCATGACACTTGGAAGAATGCTTTGGTCCACCTAGCTACTGCCATTTGGGGAGGTGATGAACCTATGCTGACAGAAAACCCCCCTCTTCTGTCAGTGTAGGCTGTGTCCTATGGGGTGATGCCTGCACAGTACATAGCTACGTTGCTTTGGGCCCTGAAAGAGCTCACAGAGCCACCGTCTATAGAAGCTGTTGTATTGACACAGGCATATTGGACAGCGTTCTGGTGTTACTATCTCGTGGGTGCCCAAGAGATGACAGGCTTGTGTTCATGTCTCATTTGACGCATGGTGCCTCCATGCAGTACAGTCCTGTTTTCTGCTGAAATATCAGTGACAGGTCTGAGCCCAGTGCTTAGTGGGGGATGTAAACGCACGTGAGGAGTGGCCAAGTGGGGGAGCCTGGGAGTGGTGCTAGCGATCCTGATATGATGCTCCACTCTTCCCCTGCGAAGAGCAGAATTTATTCCCCATGAAATAAAGCGGGTCTGAATTTATGCTCAGTGGCTGCTTTTCCCTTCCTGCTCACAACAGGGCCTTCTCCATCAGCCCGGCATGTGGGCTCAGACCTCAGCAGTGGTGCCTGTGCTGGTGTCTCAAGGTCCAAGCTAAGAGCGTTAAGTGCTGTCTCATGAAGGTCTGCTTGGGGTTAGTGTTAACGTAGGTCTTGCCTTATTTTGACACACTCACGACAAATACTGGTCCTGCCGCACGTATGCCAAGAAGCCCACCTGCACTCACTGGGCTCGTGGCCCCTGTTTTGCGGTAGCGCGGCAGCTAGTAGAGACACTGGCTAGCCCCACAAAGTGCCTCTGGACATTAGCTCAGTGCCAGTTTGTCCCTCTGTGAGCGGAGCTTGTCAAAGGGTTTTACACCCCTTTCTGAATGGAGCCTCAAAACATCCCCCTCCCCTCACCGAGGAGGGAATAGCGCAGCCTCCTTTTAGAGGTAGGCTCGGGTCAGATCTGCTAGGCCCCTCTGGGCCCTGCTCAGTAACTCACAAATGAGCCCCGATGGACCTCATGTTGGGCAGTGAAAAATTATCAGTCACTTCCGAAGAGCTGAGCCTGCTTTGCAGCTGGGAGCAAGCCGCCCAGCCCCATAGCCCGACCTGGGCTGGTGAGACTCTCGCGAGTGCATAAAAGTAGCTGGGAGGGGGGCCGTGCGGCCCTAGAGGATGGTGCAGCTAGCCACTCTATCATAACGCTGGCAGATCCCAGTCATCTGTGGGTGGGAATGACCCTGGGACCGCTGGAGCTTAGTGGATGGGTCGCTACAGCTTGAGCTAAGAGCCACCTGGCGCCACACAAAGGCTGTAAAGCAGACTTCACTCTCCCTTGTCAGTGGTCTCAGTGCGTCTGCGTTGCATACTTCCCTCGGCTGAGGAAGCACATCCTGAGCTTCAGAGACCTCCCAGCAGTTTGTCCTGGTCGAGTCCCCACTTGTAAAGCAGAGGGTCAGCTGGGGGGATTGAACCTGCAACCTCAGGAGTGAAAGCTATGAGCCTCCGTCTGCCATATGAGTTAAAAGACAGCTGGGGGTTAGCTAAGGCTGAGCACACTCATTATCCTCTCTGTACATGGTGTCAGTGCCACTACCTGGGCCAGTGCACCACACCCAGAAGATGTGTGGGTTACCTTGGCTCCAGCTTGCCCTACTCGTGGGTCTGAGCTTGGTAGCTAGCTCAAGCCTCTGCCAGGGCCCTAACAGCCACGTGGCTATTCTTAATGTGCTAGCTCCAGCCCTGTATTCATGTGGCTCTCTACCCAAGCTGGGAGGTTCTGCCTCCCGTGGCAGAGTAGACTCAGCCTAAGGGTGTGTCTAGACTACAGAGTTTTGTTGACAAAAGTGGACTTTTGTCGACAAAACTATACCTGCATCTACACTACCGCTGAGTTCTGTCAACATAACGTCGACAGAACTCAGCAGTTTTGTCGATGCTGGTAAACCTCATTTTACGAGGCATAACGTCTTCTGTCGACAGAGTTTCTGTCGACAGAAGGTGTTATTGCATGTAAACTGTCCTTTGCGTCTACACTACCATGTCGACAAAGCAGCTTGCTTTGTCGACAGAACTGAATGTAGTGTAGACACTCTTTGTCGACAGAAGTTTTGTCGACAGTATCTGTCGACAAAACTTCTGTCGACAGAGAGTGTAGTCTAGACGTACCCTAAGTCACCTCCCCAAGGTCAGCGTGGGAGCTGGGTGTAGATGCTGGACGTTTTGCCGCCAGACTCTGCACAAGACCACCCCGCTTCTTCTTGCCAATGCAATGGATGTTGGCGATGCTGACGCCGCCAAATGCGGTCGCTCCGCAGAGCCTAACTGTTCACTGCCAGGCTGGAGACTCACTAGTGCACTAACCTCTGCCACAGCTGCCCAGGGACACCCCGAGGTGCTACTCTTGCTGATCTCTCTCCAGGCTGCCGCCCTTTGTGTGGCACAGAGCTCTGGAGAAGCGAGGGCTGTGTAGTGCCCTTAAAGAGACAGTGCTGCCGCCTTGGGGGGGGGGGGGGGGCAGGCCCATGTATTGTTCTTTCCATTCATGTCCTTTTCATTTTGCTACCTAGGCAAGCCTGAGCTGCCAGTGCCCAGTGGAGCAATGTGGTGCAGCTGGATTGGTGCAGCCTGGAAAGGGGCAGAGCTGATGGGTTAAGGCGGCGGGGATGGAGGGCCCGCTCTTGTTGTAATCACTTTCCTGAGCCCCGGGTGCAAGCTCTGACTGTTTAGCACCTTTTCATTCATGCTTGGGGGAAAAAAAGCCCAACACCTGACTGCATCTCTCTTGGAAGAGGAGACCATTCACATCCACCCCCAGACACATGGATGACTACACTTCAGAGGAAGGGGGCGAGGCTGACTGACTCATTCACAATCATCTCTGCCATGCGGTAGCGATACAGGACACTCCAGCTGGGCAAATTGCAGCTACGTCATTTCTCCTGCTGCCTCCTCCTATGCTGTAGACATTCAGGCGAATTTCACCATCGCCCAGGGCTGGATTATTCCACCACAACTCGCTGGTGGCAGGAGGGCCAATAGCAGGGAAGTGGGCCAAAGCTCTGGGACGGGCCAGTAGTTGGTGATGCTAAACTATGCGCTGGGTCCATCAGGCTATTGGTGGGATACAGGAGTCATTGGGTGAGATCCTCTGGCCTGTGCATTATGAAGGTGGTCTGATTAGGTGATGTCATGGTTCCTTCAGGCTTAAAAAAATCAAGTAACCAATACTCGTACCAATGACTAATCCCTACCCTACCCTTTTGGCTCCCAATGCCCCTTCCCACAAAGATGGAGTCTATTTTATTTTCAGAATTTCCACCACCTTCTAAATACATCCAGAGAGAGATAGTGATAGAGAGAGAGACTGGTGTGTTTATTTGGCAAATAATTGGCCAACAGTTGCACCAAATGGGCAGCATGAGATTCCTGCACTCTGGTCCCCTTTCCAGCTCCCAAAGGAGGCAGGCTCCCATCTTTCCTTGAGTGGAATAACGAGAGGGACGCTGGTTTTCTATTAGAATGTGCCTTTTTTCGTAGTGCACTTGGAATCACTCAGAACTTGAGACACAGACATTCACTGGAGGATAAAAACAAAACAAACAAACAAAAAACCCAACTCCCACCCCCAAAATCCCCACACCAGTATCAATTCCCCCACCAACAAACAAAAACACCCTCCAAATCAAACCCAATTGCTTTGTCTAAAATCCATGATTAAAACCTGGTAAAAACAGGTGAATATATATATATATATATTTAGTAGATGTAATATTATTTTTTCTCTCTCTTTCTTGTTATACAGCAAACATTGCAAATATAGAAATTTTCTCTGTACAGTAGGACAGCTTCGGCTTACAATGCAACATATGGTAAAACCTCCCAGTGAATAAACACATGAACGAGCCTTCGACTGGATGAAAGTCTAAGGTGGAAGACTCCGTTTGCAAAAAGCCCAAAAGAACTTTCTCCTTCTGGTTTCTTTTTGGTTTTTTTGTTGTTGTTTTGCTTTGTTTGGAAGGGAAGGAGAAAGAAGAAGACAAACTGTACACAAAGAATCCACAAAATCACGGAATAGGGAATCATGCGATGTAACACTGGAGAACTCCAGACTTCAGATCTCAGCCCATCTCCCACCCTTTTTTATATTTTTTCTTATAAAAAAAACCTTTTTTTTTTTCACTCCATAGGGGTTTTTAAGAGTCTTTGTGTTCAAATTTAGTGCGTATCTCACAAATATGAGATCTTTTGTGATCTCTTTCTCTTTCATATATTATATAGACTAATGATAGATTTTTCTCATAATTTATGCTTGGTCTGTTTGAAAGACAGTCTGGATAAAAATAGCTGCTGCAGGGGGTTTTTTGGTCCAGTTAGTGTTCAGTCACCAGCTGTGTGAGGACTCAGGACTTGTGCTGGGCAGACACACCTTTCCAGTAGTCTAGGATGTCGTGAAGATCCTCATCTTTGGCAAACTGGACCTTTTTGCGCAGGGCATGGCCGGCTGCCATGTACTCCTCCTCATCTTTGTGCCGCTTCCGGTTGAGTTTGAAGCGCTCCCAAATGCTGTGCGATGGTTTGCATGTGTATTCTGGGCTGGAGCTGTAGCTCAGGTTGTGATACTGGGGGGAGAGCTGAGAGTAGGCCAAGTCTCTGGGGCGGGGTCTGGTCAAAGGTTCCAGAATGGAGGGCTTACGGCCGCCCATGCTGTCGTGCTGCTCCCCCTGATGCGAGCCCGGGTAAGAGTGCCGATGTTCGCTGTACTGTCGGATCTTCTCTGCCTCTGCTCGTAGAATGGCAGCAGCTGGTGTCACAGTGAGGATGGTGTCTGCGGTTGGAGAGGTCTTCTCGATGTACTTGGCTTCTGATTTGTGGCCAGAGCCCTCAGAGCGAAAGGATCTGGGGCTCCGTATGGAGCCACTGGAGGATGTGCTGGAGCGTTTGGGAGCTGCCTCCATGCTGTGATGTCTCTGCAGCGGGTGGCTGTAACTCTCTTTGTAGACTGGGGACAGGAAGCCATGTTTACCAGAGATCTGTTCTGATAAGAGTACCAGCTGAGGCTCGGCAGTGGAAATTGCCCCGGATTTTACCCCTTGGAAAGAGGTGGACTCTGATTTCAAGGCATCGATGCAGTTGTTGATGATCTGGTTCACCTTGTCCACTTCCTTAGTGATGGTAGAGATCTCAGCCACGGAGCTCTGGCTGTCAGGTGGCATGGACAGCTCACACTCTCGTCTCTCGGGCTGCTCACCCGTCCGCACTTCCATGTAGTTGCCCTTGGTGGCCTTGGGGGTCTCGCTGCTGTCTATCAACTTGTACTGTTCGACTTCCCCAGCGGAGGGCAGGTAGGGGATGCGGGTCACTGTCTCCCCACCCAGCATCTGCCCCTGAGACAGCTGGGTGATGCTGGTGGTCTCCATCTCTGGCCCGTACTTTAGTTCAATGATGGTCTTCTTCATGCTGCCAGCTGCCTTCTTGTGCTTCTCCTCCTGCTGACGCCTCTTACGGAGGCAATAATACACCACCCCCAGGACAATCACCATGCCGAACAGGCAGCCCAGGATCGTCATGATGTAGTGGGTGGCAGTGGAGGGGGTGGGCACTGGGTCCTCTCTGTTTGTTTTGTTTGGGGAGATGGTGAGGCAAGTGTGGTTGTACCTTAAGACGTGGTGGAGGGAGACCACGCAGTAGGTGTAGTCTCTTTGTGGGACCAGGTTAGGCAGCTCAACATCCTCCTTCTGTTTCTTCAGCTTGGTGATGACCGTAGAGAAGCCGTTCTCATACTGCGCCAGGATGTACATCTTGCTGAACGGGTATGGGATCTGCACTGTCAGCGTGGCCGAGTTGTGGGTGAGGTGCTTCACCCGGATGTTGGGGCGTATCTCTGGCTCACCCCCGGGCGTGTGGAGGGAGACCTGGGGTGTCGTGCCATCCCCGGAGAAACACTCTTCCTCAGAGCATGGGCTTTCAGATGGAGCTGTGGTCACTTGGTACCGGGGTGGGATATAGCGAGGTATCATGGTGTAGGAGCTGCCAGTGCAGAGGGTGGAAAGCATGCCCAGGGCATTGCGATAACCGGTCCGGCCTTGGCCTAGCAAAAAGTAGCCAGAATAGTCTGGCGGGGAGTCACACTGCATGCGGTCATAAGTGCGTGTCATGTTGGTGAAGCCTTCCAGCCACTGCAGGAAGCCTAGGAGCTCACAGGAGCAATAGAAGGGGTTGCTGTAGAGTTCACAGACTGAGAGTTTGTTCAGGCCCCTAAAGGTGTTGCTGTCCAGTCTCTGGATCCTGTTCATGGACAGGTCAATGTTCACGATGTTGGGGCACTCCCAGAAGGCATTGGGGGTGACTGCCTCAATGAGGTTCGCCTGGAGGTAGAGGTACTCCAGCTTTCCTAGGCCCCGGAGGATTCCCTCGGTCAGGTTCCTCAGGCGGTTGTAGCCAAGCTGCAGCACCTGGAGGTTGAACTGTCCTGAGAAGGCACCATCCTCGATGTAGGCGATTTCGTTCTTTGTCAGGTTGAGGTATGTCAGGTTGCCAAAGCGGCTGAGCGAGGAATACTGCACGCTTTTGATCTTGTTCTCGTTCAGGCGCAAATCCACGATGGTGCTGTTGATTTGCTGAGGGATGGACTCGTAGGGGGGCTGGTTCTGGCTGCAGATAGCCAGCCACACGAAGCCCTTGTCGCCCTCGATCAGCCAGCAGTCTGCCCGCACCCTGCCTGCCTGCAGCAAAGAGATGGCCACCACACACGCACACAGCGCCGACGTCACTGCCCACCGGCGACCTGCCATCTGGAAGGGCAACACAGAGAAGGAGTTCCCTTGTCTGGTGGAAGCGGGGAGGGTGCTGGGTCAGAGATCAGGGAAGCTTTGGATTAACATTCCTTGGGCAGCTTCACTTTCCGCTCCCTTCTCCTCATGGTTTGGATGCAGTAGGAAGTATCCAAGGGGAATGGAGAACCTTGTTGTCTTACTGCTCAGTGACCAACCGGCGCGACACCCCTACAGGCTGCGTGGGGCTGATCCTATGTCATTGGCCCTTCTGGCATCTTCTCAGGCTTCCGTTGAAGTTACGCAGGGCTGGGTAGGTGCTTGGAAGGGGACTCACTCTGGTTTAGAGACAGGCTTTTCCTTCACTTTCTACGGTGCCGCTCCTTGTTTTCCTTTCGCTGCCCCTCTCCAGGTTGGCACCGGGCTTCCTCTCCATCTGCCTCGCTGCACATCTGGCTGTCCGCCCCTCTCAGTGCCCTGGCCAGTAGCTCACCTGCAAAAAAATCCAAAACACAAAAGCGAGACCAGATAAGATTTAAGGGCATTTGCCTCACTGCAGCAGTTCCTGGGGCAGCAATGGGACTGGCTTTCCATGCCTTGCTTTCCTCCTAGTACTAGAGGCCAGGTTTTTTTACATGGCTTCCATTATTCATTCCTGTGGGGTGGGGGCACACCTAACTGAGCCTGTACAGGTTGAAGCTCTCAAGTCCGGCACCCTCAAAACCTGACCAATGATGAACCAGAGAATTTGCCGGACCATGGTGCAGGGTGTCAGTATTGTCTAGCAGCATTACCAACAGTCCCTTTTCCCACCTCCCACCCAGCACTGAGTGACTGTGCTAGGTGGGGCAGGTAGATGAGTCGTGTGAAATACGTTGACAGTGAGAATTTAGGGCCAGATTTTGCCTTCTCTTGTTGAGCAGGACCTCACTCTGCAAGCAGTCCTGCCGAAACCTGGCCCTTATTTTCTATCTCGGACTCGCAGAACCTGAGACAGACTGTTTTTCAAAGCACAGGACCCTGATAACCTGTCACATTCTACAGCCTGGTAATTAGGCCAGTAATGAGGAACAGTGAAATAGTTGATTTGTCCCTTACTGAGTAGTGAACAATGAATATTCCAAAACAGGGTGGTTTGTTTTATGCTACATTAATGACAAAATCTGTTCTAACTTAAGCTGTTTGTGACACAGGAAAATCCAGACATTTCCTCCACGGGTCCCTGCAGCTGGACAGACATTGATAATGTATTTGGAGGAAGCCAAAATGTCCTATACACAGGCCAGGTCTAGCCTAGAAACTTGTCCGTCTAGTAATGCCAGCTAAGGGACATTCATGACGTTTCTGTAGCAGCCAAAACACTAGAGTGGGTGAAGTTAAACTAGCCCCCCCCCTCAAAAAAAGGGTGCACTTTTTGGGGTAGCTTATTTTGTTTGGGGCATACCACTAAAGGGTGTCCCCGCTATAAGTTGCCCCGGTATACATTCGTTCGGCACTAAAGTCATTGACGCTTGTAGGAATTGTGTTATAAGTCCTGCCATTCCCTGCTCTTAAGTCGTGCAAAAAAACCCAAACCCCCAAATCAAAACAAAAAAACCCGTGCACAAATGGAACTTACCCGTGGTAAAAAAAATTCTCCGCTTTAAGTTGTTTCGCTATAAGTCCAAGTTTTTTGGAATGTATCTTGGACTTATAGCAAAGACGGTCTGTATAAGCTCTCTACTGGGGGAGTTTGTCAGTGTAAGGATAGATCTACACTATGGAAGTTTTAGCAACAAGGGATGTGTCGCTAAACGGCGGCTCGTGTGAATGCCGTCTTTTGGCACTTTTGCTGGAAAAGTACTTCCGCCCTTTAGGAGGGAATTTTGCTTTGTTGGAAGCAGAGTGCTCTTGCCTACAAAGCAGCATTCACTTGCTGCGGCAAACCTTTGCCATGCATGGGAGGGAGGTAAGCATCCATGAAGGGCAAAAGGTATGTTGATTAAGTGCAAGTGTCGACATACCCTAACCACGGCACCCTCTAAGCTGTGCGTCAGCACAGCCCCACAGATGCATAATGAGCCTTACTGCCTGGCTGGGGGAGGGGCACTTCTCAGCTACAGCAGCAGCTCCCTGCTGAGAGAGACTGGCTGGGAGAGACTCGCTGCGCTGTCCCCAGCAAGGAACCACTGCGATCGCTGAGGGAGTGTTGCCTAGGCAGCTCCGTGGGCAGTGCCCGAAGCCCCTGCCTGGCTGGGGCTCGTTAAGCAGCGGTGGGGCCATGCTGCTACGACGCGTAGAGGGAACCTTGACCCTAACTACACCAGCAACCTTCTTCCAGGGGACACTAGATATCTGCACTACCAAATCTGGCCCCCCAAACCTGCCTTTTGGGGACCAAGTGAGAGCATTCACACCGCAATGCAACTTGCTGGGAAAAACATCTAGTGTCAGTGATAAAAAACTTCTACCTCTCTGACAGACTTTTTTCTTTCCCCCTCCCTTTATTGTCAACAAAGAGCCAGGTAGGGATGTTAGGGAGTAGTTGAATCAACTACTCACATTCCCTCCCCCCTGCTCCTCTGTATCAGAGTTCCTACTGCCTTTTAAATTGCAGAGCCATAGCAGGGTTTGGTCCTGCAGCCGGCATGGCTACCTATCAACCAATCGAGTTGTCAATAAAAATTCTTTCGACTACTCAATTAGTTAAATACTCACCTTTTAACATCCCTGAGCCAGTATAGACTCTGCTGTTTGTTTTGTCAACAGAACTAGCTTCCGCCAGTATCCCACACTGCCTGACCTGCTGGGTTTGCTCAGCGTTTTGATCTCTGCCACCCTGCAAGCATGTACCCCTCCCCTTTCATTGCTCCAGGAAGTATCTGACAGCTGAGTGAGTTTCTCCATTTGGGGAACGAACAAAGAAGAAATCATCCTGCCTGAGGAACATCGTGGCAGGCAGACTGGTGCTGCGGGGGAGAGGGAAGAGTTTACAGACTGCTCTGCTGCTTTGACATGCCTCAGCACTGACAGCTCACAGAGCTACTCATGATGATGCTCCTAGCTGCTGAGGAGACTTTGGGAAAACTCGGAGGGAATCCCAAGATGGGCAGGGATCAACTCTGCCCTCTCACAACATAGCATTGTAGGACATTTACCCACCATGCATTGCTCACAAGGTCGATGGTGGTGCCCTAAGGTGGACATGATCTGTCCACAGAGGGAACAAGTGTGAACATCCTCCAGTCATTTATTTTTTGTCAACAAAACCTGGTAGTGCAACATACCCTTATAGCAGGGGTGGGCATAAAGGCCTCGGCGGGCCAGATCCGGCCTGCCAAGTGGGTGGATCTGGCCCACAGAGGCCCTGTTGCTCCCCCGCTCCCAGGACTTAATTGGCCTGGGAGTGGGGGAGCACGTGAAGCCTCCTCCCGCCCTGCCAGGAGCATGTGGTGCTTTGAAGTGCCGTGCGCTGCTGGCAGGCCGGGGGAGGGCAGAGGAGGCTTCATGCGCCAATCAGGGCCTGGGGGCGGGGGAGCTGCGTCAAGCTTCCTTCGCCCTCCTCTGGCCCTGCAAGAAGCCTGCAGCACTTCAAAGTGTCACATGCTCCCCTGCCCCAGGCCCTGTCATGGTCTGGGGGTGGGTAGCCCCGCCCCTTCCTGTTTAGGCCCCACCCCTTCCTGTTTAGGCCATGCCCCTTCCGGGGTGGCCCAGGGCTACTTCAAAAAATTTGGAAGTGGCCCCCGGGCAAAAATTATTGCCCACCCCTGCCTTATAGGCTTTGGACGTGGCATGGAACAGAAACGAAATTCTGCCCCCAGTCGTGTCAGAGATTAGCCTCAAACAGCCTTTGTTCTCCCTTCTCTAATGAAAGGAGTGGCAGGCTGTTGATGGCAGCATAGGTCTGAGCATCCTGTAGATGATACTCTCAGATGTTCCACTGTGTCTCTTGTGGCCTTGGGCAAGTCAATTAACCTTGCTGTGCCTCAGTTTCTTCTTCAATAAAAGAAGGACCATGAAACTGCTTCCCTGGTGCCTGGGGTGGTGGGATGCTGAATTAAAGCACTTGGAACCCTTCTGGCGTATGATGGGGAGCTCTTCTCTGGAGCTCAGTGTAAACACATGCTACTGAATGTAATCTTTGTTCAGAAGCCATGTGGGTCCTGGGCTTCCTCTCGGCATCCAGCCCTGCCCTGTAAGCCCTGTTGTGCTCCTTGCAGCCTCTCCTCATACAAAGCAGACTCAGAAGAGATGCTCACAGGTTGTGCTCAGTAGGAGCAGGCCAGTGTCGTTGGGGGTGGACGGTATGACTGCGGCTTTTTCACTTTGGATACGGCACCTTTCGCCCCTACGCTGTCACAAGCGGCTGGCAGATGAGGCTTGGATGTTTTCCTTATGCGTGGCGTTAGATTTCTGCTGGCCTGAGAGCCTTTTCCACTCTGTTTGTGGGCAGCTGCCAGCCATAACTGCAGCTCCTTGCTTTCCCCTGGCCAGAGAGTGTTCACTGGTCACAACTCTGGGAGCAAGCCACTCCGAAAACAGTGCACCCCCCCTTCTTCTCCCAGCCATGGAGGGCTGTGCATGCCACATCCTACTAGAGGGCTGTGCATGCCACATCCCACATCCTACTGTGTGCAGGGACCTCCCTGACACCCTGTACCTCCTGCTTTGGTGCAGCACACTACTGCCCCCACATGGGCCTATGTATGAAAGGCACAATCTGACCTACACGTACACACTGTATACAAAGAATTCTTTCACTTCCCACTGTTTGCCCACAGCACAGCAGCACGACACGCTAGATCAGGACAGGAAATGAAGAATTATGGCTAGGTACTCCCTTCTCTTTGGTGAGCAGAATCTCTGCCTCCTTGGGCTCTGAGCTTCCCATGTTAGCCTAAACCAGTGTTTCTGAGCGGAACCCTCAAACTTTGGGGGCCTCGGAGCTTGGATCTATCCCACAGAATGGATCATCTGAACCCAGCCCTTGAACCTCTCAGCCCTGCCACGTGGCCTACGGAGCCGTGCTTTTGGCTAACGGAGCAGAAGCTTACAGCGAAGGAGAAAGTGGAGACAAAAACCACAATGAGCGCCCAGCTGATCCCAAGCAGCCTTCTCATTCAGACTGAGTGCAAATGGGATAGAGAATGTAAGTGACTCTAACAAGTTCAGTAATGCCCACGCCATGTGTTTGCTTTTACTGCCTGTACGCTGCATATCAGTTGATTTCTCTCCAACAACAGAAACTAAAAAAGGCCCATTCTATCAGCTGCTGAGTTTAATTCCAGCTCATTAAAGCAAGCAATTTGCTGGTTTATTTGCTTTGCAAAGTGTGAATAAAATGACAGCATTAAGGAGATGTAACAGGAAAGAGGGCTAATCTCCCTCTTTATTAGTTTGCCGGGACATGACTGGGGAGCTGAGATGCAGGCCTGGTTGTTTTGCACCGAGAGGATAATTGCTCATCTTGTTGGCTCTTGGGAGCGTGCTTCCCAGCACTGTCTTTGGGGCGGG